GAGAGAAGAGAGAGAGATGAGAGAGAGAGAGAGAGAGAGAGAGAGAGAGAGAGAGAGAGAGAGAGAGGGGGGGAGAGAGAGAGAGGGGGGAGAGAGAGAGAGAGAGAGAGTGGGGGAGAGAGAGAGGGGGGGGAGAGAAATGGGGAAGTTTGAGAAATAGAAAGTGAGAGAATGGAAGTGGGGAGGGAGGGAGGGAGGGAGAAGTTCTTAGGGCGACCTTCGTATCCTCGGTTTTGATGAAATGCACTAAATTTCACGAAATTTTAATATAGCTGTTTTGACTATGCAGCTTACTGTATAGGATGTGTACTAGAGGACGATGGGGTGGCGACATCGAGGGCGTCTGGCGGGCCCTTTGCAGCAGTTGGTTTGCCTTGCATTGCTCATTCGTCACTTTGGGGAGTATGTTTGGTCGTTTAAAACTGGTTTCGAGTGTTTACCTAATGTTTACCCCAAGTTAAAAGGGCTCCCTTGCAAGATGATTTAACTTGTTTACTCCTGACTTTGAGGAGTGTGTTTAGTCATTCCAAACTGGTTTCGAGAGGTACCTATAATGTTTAAACCAGGCTAAACATAACTAAGGACCCCTTTAAGGGCGTCTGGCGGGCCCTTTGAAGCAGAGAATTTGTCTGGCATAGGTCTTTTGGTACACTGAGTGACACCCTTTCACCTTAAATTGGTTTTAAAAGGTACCTCGTATGTTTAATCTAGCGCATTTTGAAGCCCTTTGCAAGAACCCCAGGGGCCACAAGCAGCAGCGGGTCCCCAGCAGACATCCACGTCTGTATGTGGTAGGTTAAACACTGACCGCTCTTGTGGCCAGATATTGGTACCTCGTTCGTTTAACCAAACTGCTCTGGGCTGCCGGTCTAAAAGTCTCTTTGGCTTAACTTTCCCCAAATAGACTCCATTCTGACAGAGGACATTGAGGGATTGAGGCGGTAAATGGTGTGCTCTTTGCATGGTGAAAATTTCTATTTATAAGGCGCCTTACTGTCTGATGACAAGCGTTGTATGAAACTAACCACGGTCGTCTCCTTGCAACCTACTGGGAACTAGGTAATAAATCAGCCACCTCGAACAAATTTCAGCCCAGGTGCCATCTGAGCATGAAACTGAGGCTTGGGCTGGTCCCGCCTCTCATGGCTAGGTCGTCAAATTCTAGTACCCTAAGGCATACATTAGAGCAATGATTTACAAACACCATGAGACTAGTGTGGCTTTAATACAGCCAAACGATCAAACTTTACACCAACTGTTATTCATGATAAATGAATTTCGGAATTAAAAGTCTCATGGAAGCTTGCCAAGATCCCCTTGTACAGGCTCCCCCTATCCATGACTTTATATTAATGTCATTAAAACTAATACCCATAACCATTTGATAATGGCAGCAAAGATAATGATGATATTCACCTCGCACCGATGCACTTGGAGCGTGTCCTCTTTGCATGTGCCGACTTTTCCATCAACCGAGACTGTGTA